TTGGCCGCGCACCCCCAGGGGGCAGCGCTACGGGACCAACCAGGCAGTACCCCAACTGCTCTGTCCCAGGCGTCCCCAAGAGCAGCTGCTGGTCAGTTTCAGCAGCAGCTGAATGGGGGAAGCCTGTCCGGCTGCCCCAGCACTTCCGGGTTCCTGATGATGGTCCGGCACCAGGAGTCCCGGAGCACTGGATGCCAGACTAATGGAGTTTTACTGTACTTTGTTTCTCTGTATGCACAGATTGCTAGTTGTTCCTAAATTATCCAAGCATTGTTTTCCCATAAGGAATTATGGTTTATAAGGTTTTCAGTGCTCAGACATCTGGTCATCATATGTAGGGAGAAGAAGTGTTTTTTCTGATAAGTGTGCTGTGACGGAAGCTAAAGACACAAAACCCTACTCTGGTGCCTTAATTTCTGCCATACCAGGAGAATCCAGTGATCACCTGTTCTTATGTACTATCTATAATGGTGACCACTGCAGGATGTAATTTCTTCATAATACACTTCCTAGTACAATACCGTACCATGTTGATTGTGAAGGAAAGGTGGATTTCTCCCTGAATGCAGTTGAACAGTTTGTGCTCAGAAATATGAGAAGTTCTTGTAATTTAAATTCAGTTATCCCTAGATTATTGTTTTATTTAGGATCTTTGATTGTGCAAAGAAACTAGAGTGTTTCCAGTGTAGTGTGAAAGGATTTATATTGGTATCTCTGATAATTGTCAGAAATGATTGTTACTCCACTTCACTTCTGTGCACATAATACCAAGCATTCCTTCGCCTTGAAGAGCACAATTTCTCCCATATTAATGGCCAGCACACAGAATGGTAGATGGTGAAACTCTCGAAAAGAGATAGACATCTGATCCAAGGGGACTTTTTTTCTCCACAATAAGAGAACATTGACAGATGTCTGGAATTAACAGGCCAAACTTTAGGTTAAACACTTTCTTACCTTCAGAAGGTCTGTTTGTAGAATTTTCTGTCTCCAAAAGTGCTAGATGCATGTTATTGGGGTGCATTCTGGCACTTATGACTATTTGTGCTGTACCAGAAATATATTCGGTTAAAGGCTGATTGCAATTCTTGCTCATATATACCCTGTTAAAATGACTACACATTCTATGGATTCTTGAAATAATTTCCTCACAGGAAACACAATTGCAATGATCTTGTGTATACTTTTATTTTTCTTTGGAGCAATGAGAATTGTGGGGAATCAGTGTTTAAAATCAGGTGGATGCTAGTCATTCAAGACATCAGTCCTTCATGTCTGTCTTGCTTTCTATGAACATGAGAGTGGGCAACACTAAATCTCACAATCTGAATAGAGAGTAAGAGGATGTCACAGTCCATTACTCTCTATAGAATACTTTCTGTATTTATTCAGGATTCTCCATTTTATGATCCATGGGCCCCATTCAGACAGCAGCCCTTACCCCAATCAGGATGCCAATACCACTCGTCTGACAGACCTCACCTTCCCCGCCTACATTCATTAGACAGGTCTGAATTTTCTGAAGGCAAAGAGGACATGGATGTCACAGGGGAAGAACAATCCTTCCACTTCCCGCTACCTATACACTCCTTTCCAGCCTCATCTGCAGACACAATTATGTTGCCATTGCTTATGAGTTCGGGGGATGATTTTAAGTCCTTTCAGGACCTTTTTTAAGGGGTAACTGACAAACTAGAAATAGCCCTCCTCACTTCTCCTGACACACAGCATAAGCTTATTAATATTCTTCATGCCTTGGTGCAAACCAGGGTCACAATACCCATGAATTGATGGATCCAGCATTGATGGATCCAGCAAAGCTCCTCTGGAAGACCCTGGTGACAATTCCACCTATATCAAAGAGAATAAATCAAAAATACTACATCACTCCAAAGGCCGCAGAATTTCTGTTAACTCACCCCTCTCCAAACTCTCTAGTGGTAGAGGCGGCGAACTAGAAGGGTAAACAGCAGATTATGTGATCAACCCCATATGACAAGGAATGTAAGAGGCTTGATGCCAGGGGCAAGAGATCAGACTCCTCTGCCAGCCTTCAGCTCCATATTGCTAACTACATGGCACTTCTTTCCAAATACACGCACCACATTTTTGACCAGCTGTTGACTTTTATTGAAATTATACCGGACAACAGAAGAGAGCAATACAAAGCTTTGATGAAGGAAGGTTCTCTGATCTCTAGATCCACACTTCAGTCTGCCCTCAATTCCTCAGATACAGCTAGATTTCTGGCATCTGCAGTGGTGATGAGGCATGTGTCCTGGCTTCAACTGTCAAGTTTTCCAAAGGAAGACCAGAGCATAGTCGAGGATCTCCCGTTTGAGACATCCCAGCTCTTTGTAGACACTAAGAATACGACTCTTCACTCCCTGAAAGATTTGCGAGTCACTCTGCGCACACTTGGCATCCAACCTCCTGCCAATAGAAGAAAGCAAAATAGACAGTTTACATATAGGTACAAGCCAATACCTTTCAACCACACTAGACATTATGACAATAGACGATGTTAAAGACAACCCAGACATAGACAATCATTGGAACAACCCCTCACCCAACAAGCTACAGCATATCAGTCATTTTGAAGTCTTCGTCAAGAGTCGGACAGCCCCCATCCATCCAGGGCAGCTATCCAAGCCTTATACCACATTTGGCTCCAGACTAGCAGCATTCTATCTTGCCTGGTGATCCATTACGACTGAAAAGTGGGTTCTCAAGATCATCAACACGGGTTATGTCATCCCCTTTACCTCCACCCACAATCACCATCCCCATCCCTCTTCAGGGACCCTTCTCACGAGGCTGTGCTCGTACAAGAGACACAATGTCTGCTGCAATTGAGAGCCATAGAAGAAGTGCCCTTCGACTGCAACGGGAGAGGTTGTTCTCACTATTTCCTCACAACCAAGAAATCAGGGGGTTGGAGACCTTTACTAGATCTCAGAGAACTCAATCAGTACGTGCATTATCAACACTTCAAAATGGTGACCCTCGCCACAGTCAGACACGCCCTCAAGAAAGGAGATTGGCTGTCCACCCTCGACCTTCAGGATGCTTACTTCCACATCACAATACACCTGTTACACAGATGCTTCCTCAGATTCACAGTGGTGAACCAACATTTCCAGTACAGAGAGTCCTGCCTTTCGGCCTGTTGACTGCCCCAAAGGGTATTCTCAAAGGTGCTAGCAGTGGTTGCCGCTCACCTCAGAACAAGGGGAATTACCATTTTTCCCTACCTCAATGATTCCCTACCTCATAAAGGGTCAGTCACCTTACCATACGCAGCAGGCAGTGACATTTACCAGGGAACTATTTGATAGACTTGTACTATGAATAAACCTGGCAAAGTCTGTCTTGCTCCCTACGCAGACACTAGACTTCATCAGGGCACACCTGGACTGCAAAACAGCCACAGCCTCGCTTCCACAGCACAGGTTCACAGCAAATTCAAGACTTGGGGCATCTGGCACAGTTCAGCCCCTGTATAACCACCAGGCAGTGCCTGCACCTCCATGGTCACATGGCAGCTGCCACATTCATAGTGCCTTAAACATGCCTGCATATGAGTCCGATATAGACTTGGCTCAGGACAGTGTACAGGCTGCATGTACACCCATTGAACAAGTCTCTCATCATGCCATGCAACATAAAAGCTTCTCTTACTTGGTGGACACAAACACAGAGTGTATGGAGAGGGGTTTCCTTTTCAATGGAACTCTCCAATACTTACCGTTACCACAGATGCCTCACTAACAGGCTGAACCAGGGAGTTCAAGCCAGGTGGACACTGGACAAGCAATGCAAACACATCAACTTGTTTGAGCTCAGATCAGTCCAGTATGCATGCATGTACTTCTCCCAGATGCACTACATCAACAAGCAGGGCGATGTCCGCTCTTGCCAGCTCTGTTGGGAGGTAGTACGGTTACGGGAATGGTGCATCCTCTGCACATTCACCTCATAGTCTCATATATCCCAGGCAGAGACAATATGTTAGCAGACGATCTCAGCAGGGACTTCTTCCTCAATCACGAGTGGGAGATCAACAGGTCGGCCATCAATCATCTGTTCTGAAAACGGGGGTTCCCAACAATGAACCTCTTTGCCACACACACAAACTCATGGTTCCCTCACTATTACTCCAGAGTGTGATTAGGCCCCAGCTCTCTGGGGGATGCGTTCAACATCAGATGGGATGCGCCTCTAGCATATGCATTCCCACCAATTCCTCTCATCCAGAGAGTGATACTCAAAATCATAGAATACTAGAATTATAGAATACTACAACTAGAAGGGACCTCGAGAGGTCATCTAGTCCAGTCCCCTGCCCTCATGGCAGGACCCAAGTACTGACTAGACCATCCCTGATAGACATTTATCTAACCTGCTCTTAAATATCTCCAGAGATGGAGATTCCACAACCTCCCTGGGCAATTTATTCTAGTGTTTGACCACCCTGACAGCTAGGAACTTTTTCCTAATGTCCAATCTAAACCTCCCTTGCTGCAGTTTAAGCCCATTGCTTCTTGTTCTATCCTCAGAGGCCAAGATGAACAAGTTTTCTCCCTTCTCCTCATGACACCCTTTTATATACCTGAAAACTACTATCATGTCCCCCTCAATCTTCTCTTTTCTAAACTAAACAAACTCAGTTCTTTTAGCCTTCCTTCATAGGTCATGTTCTCTAGACCTTTAATCATTCTTGTTGCTCTTCTCTGGACCTTCTCCAATTTCTCCACATCTTTCTTGAAATGCGGTGCCCAGAACTGGACACAATACTCCAACTGAGGCCTAACCAGCGCAGAGTAGAGCGGAAGAATGACTTCTCGTGTTTTGCTTACAACACACCTATTAATGCATCCCAGAATCATGTTTGCTTTTTTTGCAACAACATCACACTGTTGGCTCATATTTAGTTTGTGGTCCTCTATAACCCCTAGATCCCTTTCTGCCGTACTCCTTCATAGACAGTCGCTTCTTCATTCTGTATGTGTGAAACTGATTGTTCCTTCTAAGTGGAGCACTTTGCATTCGTCTTTATTAAACTTCATCCTGTTTACCTCAGATCATTTCTCCAATTTGTCCAGGTCATTTTGAATTATGACCCTATCCTCCAAAGCAGTCACAACCCCTCCCAGCTTGGTATCATCTGCAAACTTAATAAGCGTACTTTCTATGTGATGTAGACAAGGGCTTATCTTATAGGCTCATGTGTTGAGGTGCAGATAAGCTTTTTAGTGTAAAATTCTGCCGACTTAGGTAGCTAGAACTTCTTTAATTTTGTAAGCTTCAGCAAGGTAGCTGAGTTAGTCTGTAACAGGAAAACTTAAAAAACAACAAGTAGTCTAGTAGCACTTTAAAGACTAACAAAACATGTAGATGGTATCATGAGCATTCATGGGCACAACCCACTTCTTCAGTTAGTTTGTGAACACTAAGATAATGAGAGCAATATGAAATTCTTTCAAAGGATAAAATGGGGATCAGGAATTGTTTCTTTTATGTATAGTTTTGTATAACTAGCTATGTATAATAGAATTTCTCTCTTATTTCCGTCGCTGTTCCCCTTATCTTGTTAAGCATTTGGTTTGTCTGTAACCAGGGACAGAATATTAGAGTAGTTAGAGCAGTGGACTGATTTGATGTATCACCAGGCTGGATGCCAGACTAGATGGACCATTGAGTTCCAGCGTTGTAAGTGCTCAATCTGTGAAATATAAATCTGAGGTGGTGTCGATTTCATAACTCTTTTTTCTTGTATTTGCAAACTAGCACTTTACCACCATCAGTAATTTAGCTAAGGGGACGGCTAGCTTTCACTTAAACTCCATAGTTTTCAGTAAGGCTATGTCTAGACTACACGGAAGATTCGAAAGAGGATATGCAAATTCTGAAGGAAAATTAGGTTTACGCGGCTTTTCGAAAAGGGGGGGTTGCCGAAAAACCCACATCTCAACTACTTTCACTTTCGAAAGCTCTGCTTTCAAAAGTGAGATGAATTTGCATATCTTCTTTTGAATCTTTCGCATGAGTGATAAGATGGTGAACATTTTAGTCTTGCTGTTATTGGGCAGTGCACTATGGCATTTCTTCACTGTTATTGGGCAGTCTGATCCAATTTTCTGTTCTCATTGTAGATATCATGAATAAGAAGCCTCGACTGGCCTGGGAGCTCTACCTGAAGATGGAAACCTCAGGAGAGTCCTTTAGTCTCTTGCAACTCATTGCGAATGACTGCTACAAGGTGAGTTTTCTTTTCGAAGCCTGGTATCTAGTGTGTTAATTCTGTGGCACGACACTCAGATGCCTTGTCTACAGCAGCCTCCTTTTTGTAAAAGTCCTTTCCATTGCTACTGTTAGTGAAGCTCTGCAACATATACGGTCTGGTAGAGATCTGTCAATATTTTAACCAGCATGTCTTCTAGTTAGACAATATGCAAGTTAAAATGCTGGTGACTGGGTTACACTAGACCTAATCACAATTTCTACCTTTATTAAAGCTTCAGTGGCAGGCGCAATGGGAAATTTTAAGAGGAAAAATCTAATGCAGACACCACCAGAAGCTATAAGTTGGACTTCTTTAGAACAGCAGATTCTGCCCTTCGTAGTCAGAACATGAATCTTACAACCTCATCCCAACAAACCCATACTAGGGTCCTGCTTCATGCTTCCCAAGATGCACAAAAAATGAAGCAAGGCAGATCTGTCATATCTAGTTACAAGACTTTTACAGAAGGAGTATTAGATCTCATAGAAACCACCCTCAAACCACTTATTGCACAAAGACTCCAAGACTTTATTGATTTCCTCCAGAAACTCTATCAGCATATTCCCCCAGAATACCATCTTTGCCAGCATGGATGTTATGTCTCTATAAACCAAGATTCCTTACCATGATAACATTGCTGCCTGCCTCAAATATTTGCAAGATAATATACAACATTGAAAAATTCACTCAAACACATTGCAAAATTCATCAGACATCTTCACAAACAGCAACTTTACATTTAGCAAACACTTTCTCCAAACTATGGGAATAGCCATTGATACTAAGATGCCTCCCCCGACTCCCAGTATGCCAGCCTCTTCATGGGACACCTTGAGGAAGAATTTCTGGAAAAATATACCACAAAACCAATGATTTACTTGAGGTACATCAATGACGTTTTCATCCTCTGGACAGATTACATCAGTTCCCTCAGATTTCCACCATAACTTTAACCACAACCATGTTCTCTAGAAAACACCCACCTCAGCATCAACTTCCTGGTTATAGGTTGAACCTCTCTTGTCCGGCACACTCTGGTCCGGCAACATCCATAGTCTGGTAAGATTTTAGTTAGCTGGATGTCCACTTATCATGGGTGTGGCCAAGTTTCACGCAGTCCCATAAAGTTTGTTTACAGCTATCAGTCCTGGCTCTCAGTGTTCTGTGCTATTATTGAGCTCTAATTTACCCCTAAATGTCTTCTAAGAGCCCAGTAAGCAGTGGAAGTGTTGATAATGCTGCTAGACGATATTGAGTTCCCATGGTTTGGCAAATTCTCTGATTTGGCATCGGTCAGGTCCCAAGAGTGCCAGAGTAGAGAGGTTCAACCTATACCACAATCAACTTCACCTTCTGCGGATTTCTTGCATACAAATGACTGTATGCAAGAAACCTGCAGATCACCACATTTACCTCCTCAGATTCTGCAACCATTCTCTGTTATCTGTAGTTGGCCATTTAAATCACATTCTAAGCTGCTTCCTCTAAACAAGAACATTCCACTGGAGAAGTAGATCACATTGTGGAATAGGCTATCCAAATATCTCAGGAGAAACTGCTTCAGTACAGGGGGAAAACCTCCACTGACCACACAATCCTAATTGTCACCCCACACTGAAACCCATTTTGAACAGTTACAATCCATACATGATGGGGACCGCATCCTGAATGAAATCTTTCCTGAATCCCGTACTCTGGTTTTCAAACAACCTCCCACCCTCACTAAGCTCATCATCAGAAGTAAGCTTCCCAAGGATCAAGAGCCAACTAATTTAAAGTGTTGTCAGATCCTACCAGAACAACAGATGCAAAACCTGCAGACATATCTCTATTGCTACATTGATCAATACCCACCCACAACAAACCTTTCAAGGTCTATGGGTCCTACAAATGCTTAGCACAAAATGTGTATCTCATCCAGTGCATCATAAGCCTCATTAACAGCTTTGTTGGTGAAACCAGACAATCACTACATTCTTGAATGAGCTCACACAGAAAAATGACAGAAACATCATCACTC